ATACATACAAGCCAGTCCTCGGTCTCTGCCCATGTCTCCAGATGGCATCTATTATTCCTTCCCCCTTTGTCCTTGGGCTCATTCCCCCGGTCATGGATCTCCTTCCCAGTCACGTCACTCGTTAAGGACTGCAAGATATTCCCTCCCCTCCCCTTTCGTATTATCATATATGGCATGTACTAGACGTGGTGAACCCATACTGTTCTTGAACTGCTGCATGAATTCCCTTTGTACGCCCAAGTATTCGACAGGATGTCTCGGTCGAGCTTTAGCATACGGAGGCTTATCTCACCTCGCCGGTCTCAGACGATAGATGAGCGCCGTCATTCCGGAGACTCTGTTGGAAGCGAGGATATTTCACTGTTCAAGTCTCGAAGGAAACAACAAAAATCAAAGTCTTGGGCGCCAGTCAGGCGTCCATCCAACCCCAAGCCCAGAAGACCATCGAGGGAGGAGACGCTCGTACGAAGAACACAAAGCATCAAGAGGATACCGACAGAGGGGCCATCTTGCCCACAGGGATCACCACATTCGTCGTCGAGTTCTTTGTGCAGTTGCGAGTGTTATACAGACACATCCTCGACCAACACCAGCTATGGCACTCTTTGTTCCCCTCGACTCCAAGAGAGGCCCTCTCGATCAACGGCCCCGAAACGTCTCGCCGAACGTCGACACCTCTGCATCTCCCCTCTATCACCACCTCCAAGCAGAAAGCCCAGACCACTGTCGACAGAAGCGGTCATCAAGGCTCAAGAGGCTGGCGACATAGATCTATCAGAACATCCCGCGTTCAGAGAGACCATGACCCCTCCACCTACCCCAGAAGACGACGACTTGGACCGCTGGTCCCTCAATGTCCAGCAACTCATCAGAGAAACCGATGAAGCCTTCAAGGCCGTAGGAACAGCAATCGAAGAAGCGAAGATGGCCGTTTCAACTTTCCCGTCACATATCGAGACGGGCTCCGGGTCGACATCACCAACCCCTCCTAACATGGCGAAGCCTGACTCACCAAGCCTTCCACTGCTGGGTCTACAGTCTCGAAACAGCACCCCAGCGCTGCCTCCTCCATCGCTGAGCACCTCGGTATCATCTGCCTCGAAGCCGAGGAGACAAAAGTCAAAAAAATCAAAACGGGTCAAGATGAGATCGAAGAAGTCTGCCCGGTGGCAGCTGGGAGAAGATGTAGCCGACATCCTCACCGGACAATTCTTCCGTAAAGTAGAAGTTGATGAACTTCTTACACCGGATCGTCTTCATGCACTACGAGTGGAGAGGGAGTCTCAAGGACAGCCACGCCGATCGAGCGATACTCTGAGGACTGTAAGCACCGATGGAAGCGAGACGCCCGTTGAGCCCTTTCACCTACAAGACCTCCTTTCCCGCATTGGAGCAGCTGGGGCAAAGACCTCCATCACGCCTTCTGAGGCTATGACTCCACCCGACCTTCTCGACCCAAGTGTACTACGAGACTTGTCTTTCAAAGAAAAGTCGCCGCGGAGGAAGAAGCCTGTGTCCAAGGATGAATACGAAGCTGAGGATCTGATGCAGGCTGCTCCTCCTCCACCAGCAAAGAACCCGGCGAGATTTCTTCCTAGGCCGCAGGTGCCGCTGTTACCGACGATTCCCGAAGTAGTCGTCACCACGCCCGACGTGGGAGCCCAATCAGCAAAACATAGCAACAGGCATGCACGAACATTCGCACCCGTTGACGAAGACGACTTTGTATTTTTCCCATCAACACCATTCACATTCAATCATTCAGCCTTCAAACACGGCAACATACGTTTTCCCAAGTCAGAAGTCGTCAAGGGGCTGAAAATCGACCCCGATGATACGCTCGACTGGACGGCCTTCCAGATGGCTATCCTCGGCGGCGCGGGCGACCTCTTCTCAGACCCCGCAGATTTTTTGCAGAGAACAGAGGCCGAAGAGATTGCCGACCTTACAGCGTGGTTCGACGGCTTCGGCTTCGATAGCCACGGTCGCCTGCTCACCAGCGACGCCGATGAGCCGACGAGGCGGTTGCAACAAAGGTCCCGCGCGTCCACCGTGGACTGCTCGCCAAAGTCCTTTGGCAGAGTCTCGCGGGACAGCGACCTGCCCATTCCTGTGAAGGCTGAGCACCCTACTGGGTTCTGGAACGAGGGCAACGTCAACGTGTCCAAGTTCCTGACGCAAGGATGCAACATTCGGCGGTGGACGATGGAGGGCCAGCAACAGCACCCCAAACGGCAGAACCGGGAGAGTATCGGGAGCCTGCCGCCTAGTCCGATGATGGACCTGGTCATGATGAGAGGTTCTGATGGGGAGCCCGAGGTTGTGCCTATGGGATACAATTTGGGACACGACCTCGGGGATTTCTTGCGATGGGAGGCGGAGAATGTCTATGCTACGGGCATTTACTGAGCGACATCTGCCGGCACGGAATCATGATTAGAGTAAAATTGAATACCTAGGTATCTAACGTAGTATTGTAATGTTACAACCAACTTACCTTGTATGGCGTTGTGAATCCCTCTCCCATCCTCTGTCGGTATCCCATGGATACTGACGTCTCCTTTACCTAAGAAGATCACCAAAGTGAACTTCTGTCAAACAGGCACCAACGATTCAACATCGCAACGTCGCAACGAGATGCATATTTCGAATCCCCTAGGGCTGACTTGCATACAGTTACAGTACCGCCCTCCTCCCACCTACACAGGGGCCTAGGCGTCATCCAACGCCGCCGAGCCCCCCCGCTTGAGCCGGAACAGTGGGCCCAGCTCACTGCAGCCAACGCCGGCCCCTATGAAAAGGCACCCACGCATCCCCCCACCACCACCACGGCTCGCCCCGGCTTGAGCCTTGACCCACCCGAACCATTCATGGATGTTTTTTTAACGCGCGCCGTCGCCTGTCCCGCCAGGGTCGCGCTGAACTTTAACAAAAGAGGAAACCCAAAATCTCAACGACTCGACTTGCATATCAGCTCCACGACATTTTCTCAGCTACATAGAGAGAAGCTAACGCACCACCCCCACGAACCGATTCACCGAGTTTACGTACTTCCGTGCCTTGCATACCATCGCATCACATCCCGTTGCAGATTTCCGCCCCCGTCGTCGTCTTCAGCTGCACCCCCGTGCCGCGAACTCACTTGGCACTTTGACGGACTCATCCGACGACGCTCACTCATCACTTCTCACACACACCACGACTCTAGGCTACCTTATCAATCATCGCCTCTGGACGAACTCTCATTCCTCCCGGATACAACGCTCCCGAATTCTCAGCTCCGGGACGTCAGTCTACTACCCTTCATCCCGCAGAACGGATCGAGCCAGGCACCCCCTCTTCTCTTCCCGCCCGGCTACAGCTCCATCATCCGCCGGCCTCACATCACTCATCACATCTCATCACATACACACGGCACCCTGAACCACCTCCCGCCCCCACAATCCCGCGCTCACTTCAAACGGGTGCCTGTCACTCACTCACTCACTCGCGCATTCCTTCACCCACTGAATCGCCTCTTTGAAACCCCCCGCCTCATCGCACATCTCCGGTCAAAAAAAGGCCACGCAGAAGAGAAAACACCAGCCCCATCTCACAAGTCATGCTCCGCCGCCCCGCAACAACCCTCGCCATAACGGCAGAGGACATCGCCTCCTACGAAGACCGCCGCGCCCGCGAGGCCATCGTCCGAGAAAGGCAGGTCCTCGTCCAGGCCCAGCAGCAGCAGCAACAGCACCAAGCCGCCCTCGCCGCCCAACAGCAGCAGCTTCAGCAGCAGCGGATCCTCCAGCAGCAACAGGCACAGCACCAGCAGCATCCCTTCTCGTCACCCGTACCGCAGCAGCAGCAATCTTCGCCGCAGCATCCCCAGCAAAGGTACACGCAAGCTCAGATCCACCAGATGCAGCAGATGCAACGCCTCCAGCAACAACAGCAGCAGCAGCAGCAGCAACAGAGTCTAGACGACGATAGCATGCTCACGGCGGACGTCGACGTCGACGACAGCTTGGAGTACGACGAGGTGCAGCAGCGGGAGCTGCTCAGGAGGCAGCAGGAGATGATGAGGGCGCAGAGGGGCCAGAGCGGGCGCGGCGGCGGCGGGGTGCAGACTACGCCTACGCCGGGGGATGGGGGCCGTGGGGGACGGACGAGGGAGGAGAGGATCGGTGTTGGGCGGCGTGGGAGGTGAGTGAGTGTTGCTCGAGAGTTGTGGTAAAGATATCGTTGGGAGAGGCTGGTGATGTATCGGTTCACAGTTGTTGGATGACAGAATGTTTGGCGTTTTGGGAATGCTAATTTCCCCACGGATACGCCTTGTATGTGGCTGGTCATGTCGGTTTACCTTGTCTCCTTTTGAAGCTAGATCGAGGTAGGACCTGGAACGTCACGCGTGGGATACGTCTTGGACATAGTATGTCATCTGTAAAATTCTGAGGGATCTCAGTCTCCTGGACAGGCAACAAAAGTTTGCCCTTACATCAAACTCATCCTAATCGTCGTGAAGTCGTGCTTAGCCATCTAAGCCTATCGCTTTCCTACCCTACTTAACCCGCCCAAACCCAATAAAATAAGAAGAAATACAATGAGACCAAATCCTACGCTACGCTCCCCGCTTACATTGAACGAAATTGGAATCAACGAGGCATGAAACGAGCGCTTGATGATGTGAAAGAAACCCGCATGGACCCGAAAGACGTAGAAAACCAACAAAAAACATCTGTCTTTAGAAAATCAACACCGCGCGGGAAGCGGAGCCTCCAGAGGCCGCCTCTCGAATGATGTACACCGCACCAACTGCAACTTTGGCCGTAACAATCATAGCAATGTGAGGGAAATCCTTTTACAGTTTTCAAAATTCAAGGAATGTAAGAGTCGCTGACGCTGGCACTGTAAAAATATGTGATTTGTATGAAGGATGTGGAAAGTTGAAACAATCGCTGGTCTCGTCTCGCTGTAGGAAGAAATGACCGTTTCATCTCGTCTGTACGTGTTGTGTGATATCAAAAGGGCATGCTTAGCAAGGCGTCCGCCCCAGAAGATGAATGGACGCCAGATCTGCGGTCTCGCTCGATTTCTCGTGATGGAGAAGAGATGTCGTGCATCTGGCATGCTCATTAGAAAATTGCAGGGCTCCCGGGGTAGCTTTCACTACTTACGTTGTAGAAAACATTGGCCTGCCTGATTCCGGCGACCTCTGCCAAATATTTGAGACGACCCCTCAGGAAGCGTCTCTGTCTGGGAGTCGCAAAGTCGCTGCTGCAAGCCGTGACCATGGGCCACAAGACCATCAGTCCAGCAGCACCCTTCAAAGGGTCGTCTGGCTTGGTGTTGCCGCAGGGGAACTGAGCTACGACCACGCCGTAGCCATTCCATTTGCAGAAGAAAGGAGTTGAAGCGATGGTATCCTCAATACGCAGAATGGCCGAGCGTTTCAGCTCTTCATACTCCTCTCCCATCCGGTAGTCGTCGGGGGACACAAGCCAGGCCATGCACCGCAGGATTGTTGTGGTGAGCATCAGATGGCAGCACCATGTGGCCACATGCAAGATTGCGAGAGGCAAGTTGAAGAACCCGTAAACAGGCCCTGGGAACGTTGGGGTCGTATCGAGCTCGTCGTCGGATCGCTCCAGTATCCACTCCACCGTATCGACTTTCCACTGCGGGCTGGGATCATTGTTGAGTTTGCGGAATTTAGCCTCCAACGCTTGTGCACGCTTAAGGGCATCGAGCACCTTCTGGATCGTCTCTGGCTTGCGATCCCCCGCTCCGAGAACCCGATCAACGTCTTGTCGAATTTGACTGCTCTGGATATCCATGCTAGCGATGGCGTGCTGCATACGACCACGGCATTCATGATGCAGAAGCCATGTGAATTCGGATACTTCGGGAGAGTTTGGAAGACAGTGAATGGAGAGGCACTGGTTCCGGGTGATTGCGAACATCTCTTCGCCTTCTGGTGTCTCGAGACCCTTTTGGCCCCTTAGTTTGACGATGATTGCCGCACCCTTCATGTGGTCGGTGTACTCGGCGATAGAGTCTCGAGAAGATGTCAAAATCTTCCGCTTGTTAGCGTGAAGTCTTGTAAAATGTTCACACTAACAGACTCACCTCATAGAAAGCCAGCATAAGCACGGCCCCAAGAGTCTGGTCGTTTAACACCTCTCCTGGGTCCATTATAGCTTTGTTGACGGCCCGGACTGCCCTTAGATAGTGACCCTGAGCATGGAACAGAGCGGCACTGGCATTTACCGTACGGCGGCTGGCCAGCGCAGCCAGAGAGACAGCTTTGTAAGCTTGGGAAAGACATTTGGAGACGTTCGTTCCGCTCAGGAATCGAGGGAGAAACCGGTAGTATCCTCGGGCCGTGGGAGTAAACGGGACAATGATGAATTCCGAGAGGAAGTAGCAAGAGGCCTGCTCATCCAGCGAATTGAACATGGACGCCGGAATGTCTTCGTCTTCTTCGGTCGAATCGTCGTCATTGTGATAAGGAAAAGCGCCGGGATTCGAGTAATCGAACGTTTTGTATTTCGGACCAGCAACCGTCTTCAAGCACTGCTTGTTGCAAACGGGCGCGATATCCTTGCCTTCTTCGTCAGAACTCTCTTCACCTCTAGACTTCTTGAATCTCTTGATAGTCGCCTGCGTTTCGTCGCGAATGTTGGCCTCGAACGGATCTCGGTAACCTGGACATTGCCGCCGCGACTTCTTGCATCTCATGCAGAATGGCTTCCCCTCATCACATTTGATCCTCCTAGCTCTGCACAACTTGCAGCCGCCGGAGGGCTTTCCCGTATTCACCATATTCGTATTGGGCAGTGTTGGTACTGCAAAGGAAATCTGTAGAACAGTGTGCAGGAGGCTGCTCCGAAGGTGAGCTGGGAGGGGTCAAGCTCTTTTTCACGAGATTTCGGAACAAAAGCATAAAGTCCCGAGGCCAACTGTCGAGTCACAACAAGAGAAGACAACAGAGACAGGTAGCGGGATGGAGGGGTAGAAGCTCCTATGTCATAGCGATGAACCACATATCCTTCATTGGAATACGGACTTCTAAGGCTGAGTTAACATGCTGTATGCCTGCTCGGAGAAAGAACAGCGGAGGGGCTGGATCACCGATGGGACGCTCTACGAAACTCTGTGGTAGCAACTTGACGCGTTGGCAAATAGCAAGAGCTCAAAATGCTCAATCAGTACCGCGCCGTTGGTGGAGGGCGATCTCGGTGGTCTTAGCATTGGACAGCTTGTAGCCTATGCTGTCTGGTCTTTCGGAAGGTTTGTTTCATGCACCGCTAAGCCCTGACGATTCGTCGATGTTGGTGATCAAGGGTGGTCCCATCCGCTCGTGCGCACATGGTTTGAGACGGCAAATGAAATGTACCGTGAGAGGTGGTCAACGGCTGGGGTTCTTGTGTCGATCATGTAGGGAAGAACCCGGCTCTTCGGCAAGCCGGTCGATGGATGGCACCTCAGACAGGTGTCAGCGACTGTGTGTGCGTATGTGCTCTGCATCGTGGTAGTGGCCTTGTAGGGCACTTTCACCGACTGCCGTGCAAAAGGTTCGCGTGACGGACCACTAGAAAGCCGTTGAGAGTACTGTCAATCTAAACAATCAAACGCAAATGGTTCATACCAAGAATTTGGCGAAGTCTGATCGCGATGACGCGCCGCCGTTGGTACTGGTTATCACTGATTCTGATGCAAGGGTTCTTGCTCTGGCATCGTACACTCGGCTCCGACTCCGGCTCCAGAATGGAAGCAAGCCAATTAACGACAGATAGGCTGTCAGCATTGGATATGGCGAATCTTCGAATTCCGCGGGGCTGAGCACGTCAACCTGCAAGCGGTTCTACACTCTGCGGGCCGCTGGCGGGCTAATTAGTCCCTCGATATCACGAAGCAGGTTCCTACGGTCGACAGGGTTTCATTGCTGCTGACGAGTCGAATGGCAGACGTAGATCAGTGTTTGCTGAATCTTCAGTTCCGATGGCCTGGTTGTCGGGTGGCTGTCCACACACACGCGACACTTGACGGCGCGAAGCAGATTTAGCCATTCGTCATCGTGGCTGATGGGATCGTTTCATCCGATCATGGGCATCCTAATGAGGAAATTCTGTCGTGGTTGTCGGGATTCACGACGTAGAGTCAAAAGCCCTGTTGACTCCAGTGATGGAAACAGACTCGAATCGAAATCGTGAAGTCCGTGGAAAGACACAGAAACCCGCTCGGCATCTTGTGGGGTGATGGTCGTCCAGTCTGAGTAGCGCCGTGATATAACGCCGACGCGTCTCGATCCACACGAGTACGTCCACTTGATATGTCGAAAACGATCACGGCGATGCCCGAAAGAGATTAATCCCGGGCTATCAAATTCCATGAGAGATTTGACACTCGTGTCGTCGTTGTTGTTGTTTTCTTTTCTTTTCTTCTTGGATGTCTTGGGCAAGTAAGGATGTATGTTGATGGGAGGTGTATGTATGTACATGGTACCAGCTTGCTTATATAAACTGCACTAATGGAAGCGAGGATCATCCATTTGCTGCTTGCTAGTCTTCAGTGGATCCCTACGATGATCTTAGGATCTACCAGTTCTCCACTTCCAACGTCGGAGAGGCGGCGAGCTTATTTCTGACTTCAATAAACTGTCACCTTTCGTCCATCTCAATCGTCAGCGTGGGTCGCTGACCTACTTTGACGGCATCCTGGGATGGCCGTACAGATTGACATGCATCAGAATACGCACCGATGCAGCAACGCTCTCAATCCCGTATCCCGTATCCCCCCGCTGTCAACTTGCCTATGCCGTTTGACATCTGTCACTATGAGTTTCTAATTCGAGGGTCCGAGGGCGGGTCTCCAGCGCGCGACTTCTTTCATCAACCAGGTACAGCGAGAAGTCGTTGCTAATTTGATCCAATTGAAGGGCAAACTATCGAAGCGCTGAGTGAGATGGGCTCGATGTGCGCGAAAACACGATAGAAATTGTCTAGCTGCGTTGCAACACGACATGAGTCTCGAATGAGTGCGATTAAGATCCTCGAGTCCAGACAGCTGCGGTCTGAGTGTTCACACATCAACGGTACCCCGACGCCAAGGCAACTATCAAATTCGTTCCGAAGAACTCGCACATGAACGACCCGCCGGCGGGGTTCAAGGTCCTGGGGCCCCCAAATCCTTCTTTCGGCTGTCATTGTCAATCTGTCAGGGTCGTGGAGGCTTGCGAGGATGCGCAAGGTTACTAGGACTGCCTAAGCTTATGGACCCATGGCGGCCTTCTCCGGCTTCCCATGTTACGGCATCCTGTTAAACGAGGTTTTTGGCGCATGTTCTCAATCAGGAAATTGTGTTGATGGAAGAAAACCGAGCATATCGGTTCAGAACTGCAAACTTTCGTCGCCTAGTCAAGGTTCGTCATAGGGGGCGCAGAGTCAGCTCTGAGCGAGAATTGCTGCTCCTGGAAGCCGATATATGGGAGGGTGGGCAGACCTTTCTCTAGTCAAACTTCAGGACTTGCCGGAACGCCGCCGGGATGCGCGGAGAATTTCTCGTCCACAGGTCAACCTCTCCTCTGACAAGTTTGACACTTAGTTTTGCCCACCGATGCCTCTGTGGCTCTTGGCAAATTTGGCTTTGATTATCCTTTTCATAAATCGGACGATCCTGCTAGAATCTCACCAACAAGGCGTCCAAACACAAGATCTGAGGAAATATGCCAGTTCGTTGAGAAGTCAATTTGCGGCAATGGGGCTAGCGAAATGTTATCTCTTTCGAATTAAACAGCATTCGCCTGCTTAATACCATGAAAATATACGACCGCTCTCGTCATTACCCTGCTTACATTCGAGGAGCGTTACTCGTCAGGTAGCAAGGCTTTCAAAAACGTCCTGCCACTTAGGCCAGGCCGTTTGGACGTTGGGCAAAATTCACAGCGGGCGTTCACCTTCCCGGCCCTTCGGCTAAGCGGCTGTCTGGATATCTAAATGCCAGGGCGATCCCATTGACTTTCCGGATAAGCGAGCCTTGACGTCGCTCCGAAAGCGACTTTTTGAAAACTCCTGCCATTTCTGAAGCGTTGAGAACTGCTGTCACGATATGACTTGAGCAAGAGTAGCCTCTGTCATTCAGTCACTCCATCAGACAACCTGAGAAGACGACACATTATATCTGGTGAATGATTCAAGTCCCCACTCGGTGAATTTCCCCTGTCCCCGAAAAGCCCGAGCTGGACGCCTTGATGCAAATGCCCATTTCTGATCTGACAGACCAATCACCTTTGGTTATTGTATCGCCTCGGAGATAGCCGGTCACAAGCCGGGCGTGTACTTGCTTGAAAGTCACCTGGGCGTAGAAGATCAGGAGATACGTCAGCACCGGCTGAGCTCTCCTTCGCCCAAAACCCCGACGTGACCAAATTTCAAGATGCTGAGGGTAAGAGTCGGGTGAATCCGGATACCTGAACGATAAAGCAAGCCTGACTTACCAGAGTGAGGACCCGGCAGTGTATTGTCCCAGATGCTGCTCAGGGTGTTTAGAGGAGTGGAATGCCATCACCCACGATGGCGCGAGCCGCTAATTGTTTGCAGATCTTGTCCTGTCCGCAAAGGGTTCCAACTTCTACCTCCTGACCATCAACTGGAATTTTCTCTCCTTTTCGCAATCGTTTACTAAGGTATGCGTAGGGGGAAATAACCGCATCACGACTTTAAGGTGCTGGCCAGTGCATCGGATCCTTCAGCCGGGTTAGGCCCCACAACACCCGAACGTTATGCCGGTCAGCCTCCCGCTCCCTTCGGCATAATATTTCGGCCGACTCACCTGCTGTAGCACGTACGAACCAACGAAACTTGCGCTAACAACACCACACCCGTTCCTAAGCCGGTGCTTAATCCGGTCGTACAGACCCAGCCGGACTACTCTCATGCCTTGCACTTTTGCGGACTTGGCTCCTCGGCGGCGGAGAGATGATGACTTGCTCGGACTTTGCGTGGATGGTGAATCAGTACAGACGTAATGATAGGTCGGCCGGCTCGCACTCGGTCGTTCATGATGCCATTCACGGCGCCCTACCAACGTGGCCTCGACGGTGGTTGAGCCGCACCGGCGTAAGGCTTCCCAACGGAGCGGGCCTGTTGGGCGAAATTTCATTTATGACCAATCTAGCCTTGGCTTGGACACATTGAATGTCATATAAGGCTATGGAAAAGGCCCTTGACTGATTCACAATATCGTTTCAAGAGAACTCATCTTGTTATCGCAGTTCAATAAGAATACATACCGCTGGCTAGAGACGAGTCAGATCCGGTGGTGACCCCTTTTTACCTCGGATTTCGAACACAATCACATTTCTACCAATGTCTGCAACACAAACAGAAACACCAGCAGTGGTGCTGGAAAAACAAACCACCCAAATCGACCAAAATGGCAAGGTCGTCTTCAACCCCTCGCGGGAGTTCCTCCTCGCCTTCAGCGCCCTCTGCGCCATCGCCTTAGCCGTCGCCTTTGACGCAACAACCCTCTCCGTCGCCCTCCCGACAATGAGCGTCGCCCTCGGCGGAACCGCCCTCGAGGCCTTTTGGTCCGGCACGAGCTTCCTCCTCGCGAGCACGGTGCTACAGCCCACCGTTGCCGGGCTCAGTAACATCTTCGGGCGCAAGGCCCTCGTGTACGTCTCAGCCCTGCTCTTCGCCGTGGGCTCCGTCGTCGGCGCTCTCGCCAATAACTTCCACGTCGTCATCGCGGGGCGGACCATTCAGGGCGTGGGCGGCGGGGGGATCCTCGCCCTCACGGAGGTTATCATCACGGATCTC